AAAGAAAAGAGAAAGAGGAAGACGTGATCAGAGTGAGAGGATAGACCTACATATGATGAACTCTCAGGTTCAGCCAGATAGATAGGAAGCTAAAACTGGGTCAGTGAGGAGGCTGAATGGAGCTGTAGAAGTTTAAAGAATGCTGAGGCTGGGCTGAGATGGGGGTTAAGGCCTGAAGAGCTTTGCTGACAGCAATTAGAGCCCAGGGAATGCTGTCCTCTCTGCTGTGTCTTAGAGAAAATAAACTTTATTTCTAAACCCGATACATATAGAATTGTACATATACTGTCAAATATGTGTGTATTCACACACACACACACACACACACACACACACACACGCTGATATATATCTTAATTATCTGCAAGTGATCTGGACATCTCAAAGTGATGGCTAGTCCCTAGATTTGTTGGATTATGTTTTATTCAAACCTTGATATGCTAGATGACAGCCTGCAGATGTAACTCAGAAAGAGCTAGAGGGATGAGTAACTTCCCATTATAATAAGCAGCCTTTATCAAGCACCAATTTCTTGGAAGGGAAATGGGACAAGGGAAATTTTAAATGAGATTTGGGACAAAGGGACAGATTTCAGATACTTTTTGAATGTAGACTCAACTTTTCAAAGTTGCTTAGCAACTGATTCTGATATGGAAGATGAGGAAAGAGAGTCAAAGGTAGAAGGAGGCAGAAATTTCGTTCTTGCCCTCCCCTCCTCCCTCATTTTACAGATGAGGAAGCTGAGACTCAGATATTATAAAACTGATCCATAGCCACACAGCTAGTATGTGGCCGAGACAGGGTTTATTGCTAGATTCATCTGTCCTGGGCCCTTCTAGGTACATCGCACTCCTCCCCTCCAGCCATTCTCTGCAGGACTCTGTCATGCTCCAAGCCACTTGACTGAATATACCAAGCTGAGCCTTACCCTCTCCTTTTCCACACTTCCCCTGTGTTGGCAAAGGTAATTAATCGTGCATACTCATCAAATACCCTTCCCCTGCCTGGGTGAGGAGTCCCTCCCAAGGCTGCTGCAGTAGTGTTTACAGGCCTTGCTCACAGCCCTAGCACACTGCTGTGACACTGGGTTCACCTGTCTTCATCTCATTAGACTGCGAATTCTATGATAGAACAGACAGGGCCTCTGAGTCTTTTTACTCCCAGAGTTTAGCACAGTGTCTGACCTATACTAGCTGCCCAACAATGTTTATCAAATGAAGAGCTGTATTAATAGGCCTCGTGCTTAACCCCAGGTTGCATCCTACAGGTAATAAGATACAATAAAAAGTCAACAAAGGACATTATAACCTGCTCTATGGCACTACCATTTAAAATATTTAAAAATAAAAGGATAATAGAAGCCTACATACGTGCATTTGTTTGGATTTAGGGTTAGCTGATTATCTGCCTGACATCATGATTTGTTTGGGCTTGCTTTCTGAGCCCCTAATGTGCTGTAACACATTAGCTTTGCCATTTCACTCTTTGTCCTGAGGCCAAGCACTCTGCAACCGTTGCTTAGGAGGCAGATCTTCTCTTGCAGAGAGCAGCTAATGAATCCAGGAGCTATCTCCTAAGAGAGAATCGCTCCTCTAAAAAAAAGCACCCTGGAAAAGGTGGCCCAAGTGGGCATACTGGGGTGAGTGATATCAGCAGCTTTTTTCAGTTCCACCTCGAAGAACATCAGGGACCAGAGCGAAAATAGACGCGGACCCCCTAGGCTGGAAGTTCTCCCGCAGGCCGTTCTTCCTTCCTGCCTGAGGTGCAACACTGTCAGAACCTGAGGGGAAAATAATACACTGAGCTGTGAAGTGGAAGTTTACAGTATTTTCACTCTCACAATATGGTACCTTTGGCCTCACATGAAAAGTATTTTCAATTACACTGGAGGTTAAGAATAAAGATTTTTCACACACACACAAACCTTTTTTTTTTTTTTTTTGCTTTGGAAGTGTTGACAGGCCCCTTCAAAATGGAATCTCATATTCTTTGTGAATCACACCATGCCATATTGAGTATAGGTAGGTTTACTCAGGGGTCCAAGGCTTGAGTAATGATACACTGAAAATCAGCAAGATGACAGTAAGTGTGACAGCTCCTCATCTGCTATCAGTCATCTTGTCACCAGAGAACACAGCCCACTCATTCTGATATGTGGCACCTCAAAAGACTTTTTTTCCATGCAACAAATTATCCTAGAGGGATATCAAGGCCTCATTGTTTTTTATTTAAAAGTCATAAGTTAAGGCCTCGAAAACTTGTGACAGCATATGAAAACTTATATTTCTACTAGTAGTTTTTGTGCCTTCACTGCAGTGATAAAAATCACTTTGTTCTCCATTTTGGAGCCATGGGAAGAATCAAGGCATTGTGTAGATTACTTAAAATTCCACTGTGCCTGAACCATTTGGCCAAAGAATGCTAAGAATTTGCAGCTGTTGCTCCCAAGAAAGGTTTCTAACTAGGGCGGCTGCTGTTTAACACACAGCTGTTGTTAATTTGAGCTGAAGATTTTTAATTGCGTTTATGTAGAGATTTATTAAATAACAGTTTAAAGAAACAAAAACTATAATAGTTGTATTAGTAGGATGCTGAAGGAAGAGAATAATTAGAACACAGCGTTTTTGCCTTGTAAGCTAAGTCTGAAAATATCTTTTCCACATGACTGGCTTCCAGCCATCCCAGGAAAAGAGTTTCTAGGTAAATCCGGTCACAGAAGCCCTCATGGCCTCTGCAGGAGCTCAACCCCTTGTTCCCCTTACTCATTTACCTGGAAGCACTTCTTCCCTAAGTGGCCTTTTCTTGTTCCCCAATTCTCCATTTCTATTATCTCAGCAGATGGAAGCCATAGGGCTTGCAGCAAACGTGGCATTAGCTGGCAATCACCTGCTCCTTCTAAGTGACCTTCATTATTTTGGTGAGCCTCCATAATTGCTGTTTTCCTGTGACATCTAGCCCATCCATGACAATACTGGGAGGAGTATGAACCCTCCCTATTTGGCTTAGAGCAACTGTGTTGATGAGCAAAAAAATAGAAAATGTGGGCCTTGACTTTCCACAAAGGCAAAGAAGAGGGAATTAGAAGCCCTTCTACTAAAGAGGAGCAACAGCTAATGTTGTCCCTTAAGAGGGAAGTTGCCAACTGTCCCAAATAGGAGCTTTGAATATGAAGGGAGACAAGCCAGGAAAATTGCAGAATAAGTCATAAATCCTCACTACCATACTAAAATCCTCATCGTGTTTAATATTCCTTTTAACAGGACAACTTTGATTTGTCAAGCATTTATGGAGCACCTACTGTGTGCAAGGTGCTAGTGAGGGCTTAGAGATCAAGTGTAAGACAGGCCAAGGGCATCCAGGTGCTGTATAAACCAGTCACTCCAAAAGAGGCGAGCGAGGTGAGAGGTCTAATTTATGGCAGATGGGGCAAGCATTTGATTTAGGCCTAAGGGATGAAGAAGATCTTTATAGAGGAAGAAGGAAGGCCTTTCCAGGCTGATGACCTGGAAGAGCAAAATCGCATTGGTCTGGAAAACTATGTCTTATTGAAGGGACAGTATATGTTTGAACATGACAGTGTTGATGAAGATGAGAAATAAAAAAAGAAAAGGTTGGAACTAGATTCTGGAAGGTTGAATTGCCACTCTAAAGTAGATTCTATTCTGAGGGGCATGGCAAACTATTGCATAGTGTAGAGCTGGGAAATGACATGTTTTTCAGCCAAATCATCCTGCTGGCAAGTCTGCTGAACTCCAAAGCCTCTCCCGTTGCCCCATGCAGAGGCAGAACGACTGCCATGTGCTAAGAGCGTGAGGACCTGAACCATGCTACAGCAGGGATGAGAGGAGGGAACGCCTCTGAGAACCAGAGTCCAGGCTTCAAATCCTAGACTTGCTACTTGCTAGACTATGGCAGTTAACTTCTCTGTGCCTCTTTTTCCCCATCTGTAAAATGGGGGTAATAACAGTGCCTGCCTCTTAAGACTACTTTAAGTTAATAAACATAAAATGCTTAGAACAGTGACTGGTACAGTAAGCTTTTGACAAAGGTTAGCTATTATTTTCAGATGTAAAATCTTACTACTTAGCAACTAGTTGAATTTGGGGAAGGTGGGGCAAAGGGCAGAGTCAAAAGTGTGATGCTCATCAAAGGAATATGGCAGATACTCAGAATTAATAATAATAACCAGAAAACAAAAGAAAAAATCATATTGAAGGACCTTAAAAATAACTATAATCTTCAAAAGTGTCAAATAAACACAAAAGGAACTGTTTCACGTTGAAGGAGACCACAAGGACGTGACAACTAAAAGGAACACATGATTCAGGACTTGATCCATTGACTTTAAAGGACATTATGGGGACGATTGAGATAATTCCATTGAAATGAGAATGGGATCTGAAGATGTTACGTAAAAGAATGTGCTTGGCTCCTTTTTCAAAGGAAATGACACCAAAGTGTTCTGTAATGATGAGGCATCAGGTTGACAACTTATTCTCAAATGTTTCAGAAAGTTTTTTTGTACTCTACTTATAAGTCCTCTATATGTTTGTGATTATTTGAAAATGAAAACAATCTGTTTTTCGAAATTAACACCTAGCAATAGTTGAGCACTCATTATGTATCAGGCACTGTGGTCAGTGCTTTGCACATGAGTGGATTTGCTTCCCAGTCTGCCTTGCTTCTCTACCAAAAGGGAGTCCTGTGTCTCTCCCCTGCACCCCTGTAGCAGCCTGAGGTTCTCCCCACTAGAGCACCCATAGAAACTGTTCGTTGTTCATAACACCTGCCCCACTCCATGGTCAGTAAGTTCTTTGAGAGCAAGGATTATATCCTATTCTCCAGTGTATCCACATCTCCCATCACAACTCCCGGTAAATCATAAGTGTTCAATACGTGCTTGGTAAATGAAGCGCTGAGGCTTGCCCACCATGGCGAATATAATCAAGAGTGAGACACCAGATTTGGGATGCATGTCTGATACACGACTTCTTTTCTAGGTGGCCCTGGCTCTGGCAAAGGCACACAGTGTGAAAAGCTGGTGGAAAAATATGGATTTACACATCTCTCGACTGGTGAGCTCCTGCGTAATGAACTATCATCAGAATCTGAAAGAAGCAAATTGATCAGAGAGATCATGGAACGTGGAGACCTGGTGCCCTCAGTAAGCAACAGCTTCCTTCCCTGGCTGGGGAGATATTTTGGAGTGTTGCTATTAGTCTAAGCTGCTATAACAAAGAAACCCAAAAGGACAATAGCTATATTTTATTTCTGTCTATGTAACAGTCCAGAGGCAGGCAGGAGGGCCACGTTGTCCAGACCCAGGTTCCTTCTGTCTTATTGCTCTGCCTTGAATATTAGCCTATTTTATATTTTCCCCTAAAACTGGTCTCCAATTTAGAGTTAAAATCTTTAAAGCAGAGATAAGCATGGCACAACCCTCTGGAAAATAGGAAAAAAAGGTCTATTATTTTGGGAGGCTTGATAGCATTCTCTTGAAATTTGATATCTTCCTTGTGTAGTTTAAGTAAAGATATATACATCTTTTTATGTATCTTTTTTTCTTTTCAAGTCACTGTCCATCTTTAAGAAGCTGGATGCCATGGGTATCAAAAAATATTCATCCCTGCCATATTAAGTCCCAGACTCTGTAATTACGGCTTGTACAATACAGTCCCTACTAGCTAACAGAACTTTAGGCTCCCTCTTTAACCAGCTACAATCTTTCCCACCTGCAAGACAGAATGGTCCTCATGGAAGAAAACAAACCATCACCTTTGCCTCTTCCCTGGCTTCCTTGTG